GACTCAAATAAGTAAATATAATCCAAACTTTTCTAGTACTTATTAAACACTAATAAAAATATATAAAATAATTCACAATCCACTTATGATAAGTATTATGAAGTGTCATCCTAAAAGCTCAATGGAAAAACGTGTTTTGTCATGTTATGTCATAACAATAACTGATGGGCTTCTATTCCTATAAAGCAGACGAGACAAACAAAAACTTTGTTGAAAACAAAAGTGAAAGGGCTGCTCACGCATGAGACGTGGGTTGAGTTAAGTCACATCGTATACAAAGCGTTTGCAGCATGTTATCTCATTACGTTTTCAGTCTTTGCCTGTACGGTACAGCAGCTTATCCTAGATTCACACAGCAGGTAAAATATATATATATATTACATTTTTAACAATCTATTGTTCCAAATTTCTTTGTTTTATCAACTTTTTCTCAAGCTGAGCACTGTTCCACTTTTACAAGCGATGGCAGCAGCAGATTCTTCCAGAACCAGGGGACCAGCTGATGACAGAGGCTTATTTCTCATCTTATCTCTGCTGTGCCTCATTTCAGTCTCAACTTCCCTGTATCCCGAGGACCAACTGGTGAATTCATTCTTGCTGAATTCCCTTTTATGATACAACCATTACACGTTTCTGTGTAGATGTACGGTTACAAGCTCATTAACTGCTGTTATTTTTTTTCTTTATTTGCAATGGACTATAGATGCTTGAGTACATGAAGATAGCAATAAAAGAAACAGACAATCGGAAGGTGGGTCACTCAGGCTCCAAGTTAGTTTTTTAAAATCTGCTGTGTGTATTTACTTAATGAGTGCATTTTACATTGAACTGTCTATAGTGATATACTGAAAGTATAGTAACTGCAGTGTACAGGATGCAGAATAATCTAGTAAATTTAAATGTGCTATTTTTTCCATCAGGCAGAAGACAAATATAGAAAGGAAACAATCACAAAACTGTTTGATCTCTCAAGTTCACTGAATGACAAGGAGCAACTGGTAAATGCTAATGTTTTCTTTGCCTTTGTTAATTAGTTTTACATATATAATATGTTCTTGTTAGAATTTTCTTCTTTTGCTGTGGTTTTCAATGTGTTCCTCAACCGGCTGTCACACTCACTATGCTCTGCTTCTTTCATTTTCAGAAACTATTCAAGGAAACCCTGCACAAAGCTATAAAAGAAGAACAAAGGCTAAAGGTGGGTCAGTCACTCTCCATGTTACTCACACGTTGACTGAGAAAGTGTTTAATTCATTACATCAGTAACAAAAAACTCCAATAACATCAGCATACATTTACTGATCTGATAATGAGTGATCTGTTTTTGTGATTCTGCTAAAACTTTTATTTTTCTCATTCAGGCAAAATTCATGTACAGAATAGCAACATCAGGCGTTGAGGAAATGTTGGAGAAATACGCTCATCAGTTGGAAATGGTGAAGAGATTATTGCCTGATTCCAAACCACTGAAGGAAATCATTAACATCTGTTCGCACATGTTGAAGAATTTAAGAACTTTAATAAACAAGAAGATGAGTTTGCTGCAAAAATAGAGAGCTGGGTGCGACAAGGAGCTTATATCTCCATGAAGTTATTCATTTGGAACTTTACTAAATTAATGTGACACAATGTTGCAGTAAACAGAGAATGTCTTTTGCTTTACTGATATTGACCAATAATTCATTAATGTTCGAATATATATTTAAACATTATACATTTGTATGTAATTTGTATGTATCTGTATCATGTGAAGATTTTTTTCTTGAGCTTTCTTCGTCAAGCCCTAAAGTTAAAATAAATCAGAGCTGATGCTTCTTGTACTAACTGTAGCTTCCTCCCCCGCCCACTTACAATGGAGACGATGACAGTCTTACTTTGCTTCCTTTTCTTGAATTTGTTCTTGAAATTAAAAATTCAGAAGTTTATGGATTTTATAAAATATAAAACTGCAAAAAAATATGTACAAAGCCAGATACAATATGTTACCAGGAAATGTACAGAAGATGAATTGAGGGGAAAATTAAATCCAAAGACTCTTAAAGCAATTAAACAATGAATAGTGGGATTTAACAGAATGTTGTGCATGGGATAGGGATTAATAAGTATGTACATATTTCTTCCTACTCCATTTCAGACTTAATAATTGTAATTTCATGTCATTTAGACTCTATTTTATTTAGTTTCTTTTTTGTTGTTGTTTTGTCTGAGCACATACATGTGTGTATTTACATATGTATTTGTACATGTAAATGCAAGCATGTGTTCTTGTATCTATTGGTTTGCTGTATATGTCTGAAATAAAGATACGTTAACAATAACAATTTCATACCTTTTGTGTTCATACCATTTCTCACTTTTTAAAAATCCAATAAATACTCTCCTGTGTTGTGTTGTGTTTAGTTGCTTAGTGCCGACGTGGGACAGTTTCCACTTTTGCTGTACTATTGTACAAATTATAACTGTGCGATGACAATAAAGAGTTATCCTTATCCTTATATCTGATACTGTCCGTGTGAAAAGCAGTTGTTGATCTTCACGTTACTCTGATTCTCAATGCTCATTAGTGACAGTGAGTATTCAAACTGTATTTGCTGAAGATGTTTTTACCTAAAACGATAGGAAGTATGTGCAACAATCTTTTTAAGACAGATCTTTTAATGTGATCAAGACATGCTGTAAAGTCTGCAGTCTGAATGTCTGAACATACACTCACAGATACAAATGTTAAAAATATGGAGCTGCTTTAAACCATTTACATGTCACTATATAATGAAATAAAAGCTGTCTGTATTTGACAAATATTTACTTTATTACATTTTTAACTAGGTGTTTAAGGTTTCACAGTGACAAGGCTTACCCTGTTACCAGGATGACAGACAGCTAGTATGAACCCACAGCAGAACGGGACTTTTTGGAATTGAAATGAAAGAAGTACTTTGACCCACCCACAGCTGAGCCGTGTCATAGAGGAGGGGCCACTCTGTGTGTGAGTTTGTGTGTCAGTCCTTCATGTCAGCATTCATCAGTTCGTTTGTCACTGGCAGGTAAGAACATTGTACCATGAAAAATTATTGCAGGCAGATTTTCATGCAACATCTCTACTTGTACATTTCTTTACAAATCCTTATTTATACTTGTTGTTTTATACTTTTTATACTTATGTTTTTCAGAAACTTTGATGGCAGCAGCACAGTTGACCATGAGTGGTGTCACAACTGCCAAAGGCTTAGTTATGATTTTGACTCTGCTGTGTGTGCTCCATCTTTCAAGTGCACTGATAAACAAGGACGAACTGGTAAACTGGTTATTAATTTTCTTTTTTTGTTGTTGTTTTAATAGAGAATTTAATTTCTAATTAAACACTTTTACAGACCGATTAATGGTTAAGCTTTCCTCTTTACTTTTGAAATGCTCATTTTGTCAGTTACATGTTTCACGTGCGTGTTTGTTGACGTTCTTTCTGGTTTTGCAGGAGGAGCTGAAGGGAAACATTGAAACATTACAAAAGGAAACAGCGAGAAGGAAGGTGAGTCTGTCAACGATGTTGTGGACATGGATATTGACAGACTGCTAACAGAAAAATATGTATTGCTATAACAACTAAAACCAAACATAATTT